AAATATTCATTCTGAAAGACACTCCAAATCACACACACATAAGATATTAAAGAGGTTGGGCCCCAACACTGACCCCTGGAGAATATCATTAGTGATTGGTCGCCAGCTGGATTTCACTCTGTTCACCACCACTCTCTGGGCCTGGCTTTCCAGCCAGTTTTTAACCCAGCAAAGCGTGTACCTGTCCAAGCCATGGGCTGCCAGCTTCCCCAGCAGAACACTATGGGACACCGTGTCAAAGGCTTTGCTGAAAGTCTAGGTAGACTGTGTCTACAGGCTTTCCCTCATACACCAGGTGGGTTACCTGGCTGTAGATGGAGATGAGGTGTGTCAGGCAGGACTTGCCTTTCATGAAGCCACTTTTACTGGGCCTGATCCCCTGACTTAAAACAACATTACTTTTTAATTAACAACATTTTTTTTTTCTCTCTAGGTCTGCCAGTAGCTGACAGAGTAGAAAGGTGTGCTTCTCTCTCTGTCTTGTATAGAGTTAGAGGCAAGCCTGATATCCACCCAAGATGGACAAAGGAGAAGGACAAGAACAAAGCCTGGGAGGAAGACTATGAGCCTTCAGCACGAGAGACCCCCAGAGGGACCACTGGGGACTGATACGCATGTGCCAGTGGTACTTGCATGGCCTTAATTTACATGGCAATGGACAACATCAACAATCTGCAATGATTTACAAGTGCCTTACACCATTCACCCTTGAGACAGAAAACTGGGATTCCCATACGATGTAAGGGGAGTGCAATCCCTCTCAAAATACAAGAGCCTGGGGGACGCTACTGAGTACTGAAGATGTTAAGGCTAGGCAGCACCGAACTCAACAGAGAAGGGAGGCCGAGTCTCCCTGGCTGTTCACGTAACAGACAAGAGCCTCAGCTTTTAGCCCTAAGCAACGATTCGTAGTGCCAGGCGGGGAACTAGTTCTTAAGCCAGGGACCATTTCAGCATCTTTGAAGCTACAGAAAGGCTTGAAGGCTCTGTGGAATCATGTTCCTGGCGCAAAAATCTGGGGACCAGGACTGGGCAAGTGGGGCACAAGTGTGCTGGGGAGCAAGCTCTCTGGGCTGATTACCAGGGCTTTAAACTAGGTTTGATGGGGGAAGGGAGGGGAGCTAAAGGTGACAGAGAAGGGCTGGGGGAAGTCCTCACTACTCTTATAAATGGCTCAGTCTTCAAAATAGGACTATAATCAAAGGTTACAATTTATTAAAGGAATAGAGGTAAGCAAACAGCGCTGGGTGCGCCGGGAATCTCTGCTCCACCAAGACGCACACCAGTTACATCAAGCAGCTGATTTTTATGCTCCTAGGCTAACACATGTTCATTACTGCTTCTAAAAAAAAAAAACAAAAACAAAAACAAAACAGGGTTATTATAATTAGTTTCCCGAATCCAAACCCTCCTACCGGAGCATGCGTAACAGTCTCCGGTGGTCCCTCATGCAGAAGGCTCATAGTCTTCCTCCCTCTGGTCCTTCTCCTTTGTCCAGCTTGGCTGTAAGAGACTTGTGCAGCATCCCCTGCAAGCTTTGTCTTTCAGTCGTTCTTCAGCTTTCCCCGTCTCCTTAGTCTCCTGGCCAGATACCAGAGACTTGCATAGTGTCCCATGCAATAGTCATCATAGTTAGCAGCTATTCTGAACCCCCCCAGATATCAGAGACTTCAAGTAAAAGCCTACAAATACATTTCCCTTCAAGCTCTCTGTTGACACAAATTGCTAAAACATTCCTTTGCAAGGTACAAGAACTACATACATGTACATTAACCACTCTGTTTTTCTTAGACTTGTGCTTATAGAAGGGTCTGTAGGACAGAAGGTCACATTCATCATACCATGCAGCCCTAGCATTGTTCCATACTGCCACGGATCAGATGAACACATTTCACACCACTGTCACTGTTGAAGACAGGGAAAAACTTCTGAGCTCTCCCATAGGATTGTCTGAGGGCTCCTCAGAGAAGGTAGCGTTCCCAATCCCCCGTCCAGTATCTTCTTCTTGCATCCCCCCAGGGTAAATGTACCTGCTGCTTCCCTAAAGTGCTTGTGCACCAGTGCACGGAGCGTGGGAAATAAACAGGATGAGCTCAAGGTCTGCGTTCGGACGTGGGGCCATGATCTCGTTGCGATCACTGAGAGGTGGTGGGACAGCTTGCATGACTGGAGCACAATCATGGAGGGCTACGTCCTCTTTAGGAGAGACAGGCTGGGAAAGCAAGGGGGTGGGGTAGCCCTTATGTGAGGGAGCAATTAGAGTGTAGCCAGCTCCAGCTGGGGGAGGGTGATGGACAGGTGGAGAGCTTGTGAGTAAAAAGGGGACGGGACCAGGACTGGGGACCAGGACTGGGGACCATCATGTGCAGAGTGACGTGCCACTGGCTCGTGGCTGCTTCCTACACCATCAGCGTCGTGCATGCAGTGACGCATACCACTTTCATCTTTACATCCTCCTTCTGCCGGACCTATGTCATCAATCACTACTTCTGCGACATCGCCCCGCTCCTTGCTCTCTCCTGCTCCGACACCCACACCTATGAGCTGGTTGTCCTCGCTCTCGTCAGCATAAACTGTCTCAGCACCTTGACCGTTATCTTTGTCTCTTACATCTATATCCTCCCTGCCATTCTGAGGATCCACTCTCCTCAGAGCAGGAGAAAAGCCTTCTCCACCTGTGCCTCCCACCTGACGGTGGTCACAATGTTTTACGGGGCAATTTTGTTCACCTACCTGCGCCCCAGCTCCACCTATGCATTGGATGAGAACAAAGCGGCCACACTATTTTATACCATCATGACCCCCATGATGAACCCCTTGGTCTACAGCCTGAGGAACAGGGAGGTGAAGGCTGCCCTGAGAAGAGTGGCTGGAAGAAGGCTGTGAGTGAGGAAAGCGGGTGACCAGGGCAGCATTTCCTTATCGCAGTTATTGAATGGGGCTCAAACCGCATTGAAATCTTCATTGAAGGTGAACCAGGAGCAATTTCTATATAATTTCTTTCACTCGGCAATAGGGAGAGGTCCAATAACTGATACAGAACAGACACTAACTTCTGTATAGCCAAAGTTAGGTGAGGTGAAACTAAATTTTACATACCATCAATGGTCCGTGAGCGGTGAACCATCCCACCACAGAGCTTGATTCATCCTGCTTATCCCATTTCTCTCTTCAGTGAGTACAGAGAAAGCCTGGTTTACACTGGACACAGATTTCCAGATGGCTAACATTGAGAGGAGAAGCCACAAAGACTGTCACAAACCCTTCCCTGAAGGGTTCTCCTCAATGTATCTGTGAAACTCTGTGCCTACAGGTTTGGGTGGGAAAGGAAGTGACCTGAAGGACCGCAGGACAGGGAGGACTCATCATACCATCTTTTAATAACTCAATCACATACTTCTTTATCAGAGTTTCTCAACTGAGTGCTTGTGGCTTGGCTTTTTCACTTGACTTTCGCAGTGAGTGTTTGTGATAATTTTCCTGCAACCCCCTGGGTAATTTTAGCCTTGCTTCGGCTGTTCTTACATCTACTTTTCAGATGGTGTGCAAATGTAAATAACTTAGCCATATGTTGGGTTAATAACAACTGGTTCTGCATTTATCAAATCAACAAGGCTGTGTTTTCCAGCCTATTAAAAAATGGGCTTTCAGTACAACAAATCAAGATGTTACAGAATGGGGACTGATACCAATATGCTGAAGATTTCTCTGTCGTATTTTTAAGAAAAAAATAACTTTGGATAAAAAATATATAATTAAATAAATGACCTTAAAATGAAAACGATGTTCTTGCTATAGTAAATTTTCCACTCAGTCAATACCTCCTCAAACTCCTGGTTATTATTTAACTTTCTCAGGTGTAATTTTTGGTGCCACTCCAGACAGATTTCAGCAACACAAAGATATATTTTCCAATAATTCCACTGCAGTGACTTCCTCTTTTAGCCCTCCTCTGCTCCAACACCTGCCAAACAAATACTGCCTATTCCTGTCTGTAGTGGGTTTACGTGGCAAGGTTTTGGTAGCAGGGGGCCATAGGGGTGGTTTCTGTGAGAAAGATCTAGAAGCTGCCCCATGTTTGGGAAGGGCCCCATTGTTTTCCAAATCTGAGCCAATAAGCGATGTTGTTTTGCGCCTCTGTGAGAGCATATTTAAGACAGGGAAAAAACGCTGCGCCACACAGCAGCTGGGGTTGTGAGAGGAGTGAGAAACAGCCTTGCAGGTGCCAAGGTCAGTGTAGAAGGAGGGGGAGAGGTGCTCCAGGCGCCGGAGCAGAAGTCCCCTGCGGCCTGTGGTGAGGACCATGGTGAAGCAGGATATCCCCCTGCAGCCCATGGAGTACCACGGTGGAGCAGGGCTCCACTCTGCAGCCCGTGGAGGAGACCACGGTGGAGCAGGTGGCCCTGCACCAACGGAGGCTGCCGCCTGTGGAAGACCCCTGCCGGAGCAGATTCCGGGCCGGACCTGTAGCCCGCGGAGAGGAGACCACGCAGGAGCAGGTGATCTGGCAGGAGCTGCTGCCCGTAGGGGAGCCAGGTTGGAGCAGTTTTCTCCTGAGGGATGGACCCCGTGGTACGGACCCATATCTGGAGCAGTTCTGGAAGAGCTGCTGCCTGTGGGAAGCCCACGCCGGATCAGTTCGTCAAGGACTGCATCCCGTGGGTGGGACCCCACAGCACAGGGGACGAGAGTGACCGAGAAGGAGCGGCAGAGAAGAAGTGCTGTAGACTGACCATAACCCCCATTCCCCCATTCCCCTGCGCCACTCGGGGGGAGGAGGTGAAAGAGGGTGGATGGGGGGGAGGTGCTTTTGGTTTCTTTCCTTTGTTTCTCACTTCTCTAGCTTATTAGTAATGAGCAATAAATCTTACTATCTGTCTTCTTATGCTGAGTCTGGTTTGCCCGTTACACTAATTATTGCGTGATTTTCTCGTCCTTATCTCAGTCCTTGAGCCCCTTTCACATATTTTCTCCCCATTCCTCTTTGAGGAGGGGGAGTGAGAGAGCGGCTGTGGTGGAGCTCGGCTGCCCACTCGAGCGGAACCACGACACTGTCTCTTCTAACTCCTTGCAGGAAAGGAAAAAAAAAAAAAAAAAAAAAGGAATCTCCCCCAAAAGAGCATTTTAACCTGCTGAGGGAGATGAGTTTTGGCCTCAGCCTTGCACATACTGTGGTAAATTTTGGCATAACAGGGGAAAGGAATTTCTCTTCTCATTTCACTGTGGTTTTGCTTTAATAAAAGGAGTATAGTTAGCTTTGCATTGGTTTGCGCTGGCCAGAACTCACTGATCCTGGTTTGTTTGTTCATTCATTGCATCACTGTAAAGTATGTGTTTTCTTTTTCATTGTTCCCTGGCATATATATATATCTATATAAGCATGTGTGTACATAAATATATGAACTCTGCAGGAAATATATATTGAAATGGGAATATAAATATGTATATATGTAAAACAAAGAAGTATATAGAAAAAATATGTATATGAAATAAACATTTATGAAAAATATACATGGAAAACATGGTAGATATGGAAACAGGAATATAAAAATAATTGCACCACTCCCAAAGGAAGTCATCAAAACCACTTCTCAACCAAAGCACCTTAGAAGTCCCAGCAGGGTAGGATTGGTGACAGGAGCATTAAAAAGCAATTAAATCGGGTGGGTTGCTCAGAACAAAGATACGTCCTTGCTACCTGCTGTGTACCAGTGCTGCCCACTGCAGAGGTGAGGTCCCCACTGGCGAGGAGCAGAGGACGCCCACGGTGTGTGCATCCCCTGCAGGAAGAAGCGGAAAGAGAACAACTGCCTTGCTCAGAATTGGGTCTGTAGAGATGGGTTTGGTTGTTCTCAGCCATATCTATATTAGAGAAAACAAGAAGAGGGATTCTCTTGTAAGAGCTATAGTGGCAAAAGGGGAGCACAGGGCACCTGAGTTTTTGGAAGGCTGTGATGCCAGCTACCAGGTGAATTAACAGTTATACCACGTCTTTCTCTGCAGTGCTGGGGAGTTTCACCCTGAGTAATCTGGGCTTTCTGTAGGATTTCCTGCAGCATTTTGACCCCTGTTCCTCTGTCAGGAACTGGGTACATTGTCTGGCATGCAGCTAAATCCCATGCACTTCTCGCACCTGGGCACAGAGTTTATTTGATTTTTCCACCTCAAGTCCCAGACAGGCTCACTAATGCCCATTTTACACTGATTTACCCGCATCGGTATGGGAAAGCTGTACTGCAACATCTGGTTGCAGGGACAGAAACTCTATAAGCAGCATGGTGATTTCCATAATCCTAGACTATACGAAGCTGATGTGGGTAGGCTTACCCCCCAAGTTTTCTTTAAAACTGATTCTTTTCTCATTTTGCTTTAAATATATGTTTATGTATGCTCCTGGAGTGTTGTTCTGTGTTTCCCATTGATTTCTGAGAAAAAGAGTCAGGAAGCATTGGTATATTTAATACATTTAATGTAAGCATGAATTTAAACAGACATTTTCTTGTATTTAAAACTCCTGAGTATGAATTTTAAAATCAAAAAGCATAGAGAAGGAAGTTATAAATGTGAAGATTTGTTGTGCCACCTTTTTTTTTAAGAATTTATTTTCTCTCAAATGATGGCACAGCTCCACTTCCTTATACTCCAGAATAGCTTAACCCCAAAATAATAAAAAATTGAATAGTTATGGAAGACTGAGGATGATTTTCATCTTTCCTCTGTGCAACAATGCAAGCAAAAGAATCTTTAAGAACACTCCACCAAAAAGGCATTCTGAAAGTTGGAGGCATTAAAAAAAAGCAGCCACTGCAGATGCCTGGGTCACCTTTTCAGCTGTGTTTTCCCCCTTTCTGTGCCGTGATTCACTATCAAAAGCAGCCTCACCTTGCATGCAGATCTCCAGGCTGCTGATGTCAGGAAATGCCCCCACTTTTCCCTTCCCTTCCCTTGTTGCACTGAAGTGTGATCCGTATTATCACACCGATCATATTACATATGAGCATACAATAGATGATATATATATATATATATATGCAAATGAATGAATAAAAAAATTGAACACTTGGCAGAGTAACTGATACTGAAATAAATTTCCATTGTTTTGTCAAGTTGCTTTTTGATGCACGTTGGTTGAAAATCAAATCTTTTATAATAGGAGCAATAGCCAGTGTAGGTCTTTTTAGGCGCTGAGTCTGCCCTTTAATTTATAATTTTCATTGTAGCTTTGTGGATATAACTCACAGTGCTTCTGGTGGAAATGGCCGAGGAGAATCAAACCGGACAAGTTACAGAGCTGACTCTTGTGGGACTCACGGACAACCCCAGGCTGCAGGCACCTCTCTTCGTGCTGTTCCTCCTCATTTATGCCACCACGTTGGCAGGGAACCTGGGGATGGTTGTGCTGATCAGGAGCAGTGGCCAACTTCAGACGCCCATGTACTTTTTCCTCAGCAGTTTGTCTCTCCTGGATGCTTGCTACTCAACAGTGGTGGCACCAAGAACCTTAGTGAACTTTCTGACGGAGAGAAAAACCATCTCCCTGGCTGGCTGTGCTGCCCAGATGTTTTTTTTCATAGGTTTTGGGACCACCGAGTGCTTCCTGCTGGCTGCCATGGCATACGACCGCTACGTGGCCATCTGCAACCCTCTGCTTTACATGGCCATCATGTCTCGACGGGTCTGCATCCTGCTGGTGGCCGGCTCGTACATCCTTGGGCTGCTGCACTCTCTGGTGCACACAGACTTCACCTTCAGATTGTCTTTCTGCCAGCCGGCTGAGGTCAATCATTTCTACTGTGGTATCATGCCTGTTCTAGCACTGTCCTGCTCTGACACCCACATCAACAGGTGCTTGATATTTGGTCTTGGAGGACTGGTTGAGATGGTGACCATCCTGGCCGTCCTGGTCTCCTATGCCTTCATCCTCTCTGCCATCTCAAAGATCAGCTCCCCTAAGGGCCAGCACAAAGCCTTTTCCACCTGCACCTCTCACCTGGCCGGAGTCACCATCTTCCATGGGTCTATCCTCGCCCTGAACTTCCGACCAAGCTCCAGCAATGTCCTGAACACTGACAAGATCTTTTCTGTGTTTTACTCTCTGGTGGTGCCCATGCTGAACCCTCTGATCTACAGCCTCAGGAACAGGGACGTGAGGAATGCCCTGAAGGAGTTCGTCATGTGGAAGTAGCTCTGGCACAATATTGATCTACTGGTTTTGTGATAGAGGACTCCATAACTTCACTTGATGTCAAGACTTTCTGTTTCCCTGCCTTATACTTGAGAATGCCAGATTTGGCTTTGAATATTTGCAAGGAATCTGTTGTCCAGAGAGGTTGTGCAGGCTCCTCCTCGGAGCCTCCAGAAAACACCAGGAAACGATCCTGGGCAACCTGCTCTGGGTGTCCCCCCTAGATTTTTGCGCCAGGAACATGATTCCACAGAGCCTTCAAGCCTTTCTGTAGCTTTGAAGAAAAAGTCCTGGGGACCAGGACTGGGCAAGCGGGGCACAAGTGTGCTGGGGAGCAAGCTCTCTGGGCTGATTACCAGGGCTTTAAACTAGGTTTGATGGGGGAAGGGAGGGGAGCTAAAGGTGACAGAGAAGGGCTGGGCGAAGTCCTCACTACTCCTATAAATGGCTCAGTCTTCAAAATAGGACTATAATCAAAGTTTACAATTTATTAAAGGAATAGAGGTAAGCAAACAGCGCTGGGTGTGCCGGGAATCTCTGCTCCACCAAGACGCACACCAGTTACATCAAGCAGCGGATTTTTATGCTCCTAGGCTAACACATATTCATTACTGCTTCTAAAAAAAAAAACAAAAACAACAAAACAAAAAAACAGGGTTATTATAATTAGTTTCCCGAATCCAAACCCTCCTACTGGAGCATGCGTAACAGTCAACGGTGGTCCCTCTGGGGGTCTCTCATGCAGAAGGCTCATAGTCTTCCTCCCTCTGATCCTTCTCCTTTGTCCAGCTTGGCTGTATGTCAGAGACTTGTGCAGCATCCCCTGCAAGCTTTGTCTTTTAGTTGTTCTTCAGCTTTCCCCGTCTCCTTAATCTCCTGGCTGGATACCAGAGACTTGCATAGTGTCCCATGCAATAGTCATAATAGTTAGCAGCTATTCTGAACCCCCCCAGATATCAGAGACTTCAAGTAAAAGCCTACAAATACATTTCCCTTCAAGCTCTCTATTGACACGAATTGCTAAAATATTCCTTTGCAAGGTACAAGAACTACATACATGTACATTAACCACTCTTAACCGCTCTGTTTTTCTTAGACTTGTGCTTATAGAAGGGTCTGTAGGACAGAAGGTCACATTCATCATACCATGCAGCCCTAGCATTGTTCCATACTGCCACGGATCAGATGAACACATTTCACACCACTGTCACTGTTGAAGACAGGGAAAAACTTCTGAGCTCTCCCATAGGATTGTCTGAGGGCTCCTCAGAGAAGGTAGCGTTCCCAATCCCCCATCCAGTATCTTCTTCTTGCATCCTCCCGGGGTACCTATACCTGCTGCTTCCCCATAGTGCTTGTGCACCAGTGCACAGAGCGTGGGAAATAAACAGGATGAGCTCAAGGTCTGTGTTCGGACACGGGGCCACGATCTCGTTGCAATCACTGAGACGTGGTGGGACAGCTCGCATGACTGGAGCACAATCATGGAGGGCTACGTCCTCTTTAGGAGAGACAGGCTGGGAAAGCAAGGGGGTGGGGTAGCCCTTATGTGAGGGAGCAATTAGAGTGTAGCCAGCTCCAGCTGGGGGAGGGTGATGGACAGGTGGAGAGCTTGTGGGTAAGAATTAAGGGGTGGGCTGGTATGGGAGACATGGTGGTGGGGGTCTACTAAAGGTCTCCAGATCAGGAGGTAGAAGGCGTCGTTGACTTCCTTGAGCAGCTGCTAGTAGCCTCACAATCATGAGCACTGGTCCACATGGGGAACTTCAATGACCCAGACATCTGCTGGGTAAGCAATTCGAACAAGCACGAGCAGTCCAAACGGTTCCTACAATGAGTTGAGGAAAACTTTCTGATGGATCGGGGAAACTGCAGGTCAGTCTGGAGGACTAAAAAGGGGCCCTGGAGGACTAAAAAGGGGCCCTGGAGGACTAAAAAGGGGCCCTGGAGGACTAAAAAGGGGCCCTGGAGGACTAAAAAGGGGCCCTGGAGGACTAAAAGGGGCCCTGGAGGACTAAAAAGGGGCCCTGGAAGGACTAAAAAGGGGCCCTGGAGGACTAAAAAGGGGCCCTGGAGGACTAAAAAGGGGCCCTGGAGGACTAAAAAGGGGCCCTGGAGGACTAAAAAGGGGCCCTGGAGGACTAAAAAGGGGCCCTGGAGGACTAAAAAGGGGCCCTGGAGGACTAAAAAGGGCCCTGGAGGACTAAAAAGGGGCCCTGGAGGACTAAAAGGGGCCCTGGAGGACTAAAAAGGGGCCCTGGAGGACTAAAAAGGGGCCCTGGAGGACTAAAAAGGGGCCCTGGAGGACTAAAAAGGGGCCCTGGAGGACTAAAAAGGGGCCCTGGAGGACTAAAAAGGGGCCCTGGAGGACTAAAAAGGGGCCCTGGAGGACTAAAAGGGCCCTGGAGGACTAAAAAGGGGCCCTGGAGGACTAAAAAGGGGCCCTGGAGGACTAAAAAGGGGCCCTGGAGGACTAAAAAGGGGCCCTGGAGGACTAAAAGGGGCCCTGGAGGACTAAAAAGGGGCCCTGGAGGACTAAAAAGGGGCCCTGGAGGACTAGGTCCACAGTTACAGACCAAAAAAATATGTTAAAAATAAAATCAGACAAATCCCCTCTATGCTCTTCTACGCTGTCTTTGCCCACTTAGTGCAGAGGCATACCTTTGTAACTAGGTCTTAATTCAGGCACAGATATGATAGCTTTGCAGAATCAAACAATCAACATGCAACTTTCAGCACATACTTACTTTTCAAAGTAAACCTTCAAGAATAAGAACTAATTTTTTACAAGAACTGACAAGCATTATCTAGCTTCTTTATGCTTTGCCAACTTCACCTCATTTTTACATCTCACTTCCAGGAGGCAGGCTTTTATATGAAGCTGTGTTTTCATACACTCAGAAAAAAAACCGAAGTGTTTATATCTTTGACAAGCCAGACTGCACGAGCATGGCAATTATACCATACTGTATGTCTCCTGAGGGACACGAGTTAATCACATCACAACATCGTTTTGAGAAGATAAGCAATATCTTAGATGTTTTAAGGTTTTCCCTGTTCTGTACATTTAGCTGACCAAATTGGTGCCATAAACAATTGCTACCTGTGGAAAGCAGATTTGATTAAGTGAAGATAATCTGTGATATTGTTCTTTAGTCTTAGTAGCGGATGCTAGTTTTGATAATATCAATATATTGGAGGACTCGGGGCCCTGTTACAGACACAGTCAAAGAAATCCTCAAGCTCCCCAACCCGTATCAAATTTTTAACCCAGGAACACTTACCTGCCAGCTTCTGAATTTTACTTACTACCAAACATCTTCATGGGGAAGTAGCACCACCAGGGTTTTCCCATTCTGAGTAGTCACCACCAATGTTACTAGCTCATACAGTGTCCCAAACTATTTCACAGAGATTGTAGAAAACACGATGAAAAAGCAGCCTACTTAAGAACACTGATTCCATTTCACCAGGACAGTAGAAAAGCACCCTAAGCAACCTGAACCTCATACTCCCCTAGAGTGGCAAGTCTTCCCATACTCCTCATGCTTCCTTTATAGCAAACGTCAAATGATCCCCACCTGGCAGATTTCACTTCACATGTGTGGAGTCATGAGACCTTGTGGAATAGGCTCATCAACCTAGGTTTCAATGTTTAAGGTTCAATTGCTCCTTATCGCTAATAGAAATAACCTGGCTTAGTGGTTAGAGTTGACCTAATGAATTAAATACAAAAGGCACGTAAGGCTCATATTTCTGCTAGTCATTCTGTGAGGAAAATTAGTACAGAGCCTGTTAAAATAAGATCAATAAACTTAAATAAAATAAAAAAGAAAATGACCTAAAAGGCAAAATTGCCATCATAGATTTTCATCCGTCTAGTCACGACAGATAAAGAATATAGCAATCAGAAAGACTTTGCTTGACATTAATGTTGCTTAAATTTGCCTTTCTGAGATCTCTTCTTTATTGCGGACTTTTCAAAATCTAGCGCCATGACCTCCGACTGCAGTATTTACTTTGGCTGCACATAAACTATCACGTATAAATGCCAGGATACGGATCCTCACTCCCTGTTCAGGTCAAGGACTGGGCTGAAAGTTTTGGCTTCAATTTGGTTTCATGACTACATTGCTGTTGTCATGGTTTCCCCTAGCCGGCAGCTAAGCACCACACAGCCGTTCGCACAGCCGTTCATTCGCTCAAGGCTTGTTGGAGCTGTGCCAGGGGGAACAATGGCAAGGCCGGGGGATAAGGCAATGGCCCAGCTGAAGTGCATCTACACCAATGCACGCAGCATGGGTAACAAACAGAAGGAGCTGGAAGCCATCGTGCAGCAGGCAGGCTACGACTTGGTTGCCATCACGGAGACGTGGTGGGACCAGTCTCATGACTGGAGTGCTGCAATGCCTGGCTATAAGCTCTTCAGAAGGGACAGGCAGCACAGAAGGGGTGGTGGTGTGGCTCTCTATATTAGAGAATCTTTCGATGTTGTGGAACTCGAGGCTGGGAATGGCAAGGTTGAGTCCCTTTGGGTTAGGATCAGCGGGAAGGCCAACAAGGCTAGCGTCCTGGTCGGGGTCTGTTATAGACCGCTGAACCAGGATGAGGAGACGGATGAGGAGTTCTACAGGCAACTGACAGAAGTTGCAAAATCATCGGCGCTTGTTCTCATGGGGGACTTCAACTTCCCTGACATATCCTGGAAGCACAACACAGCCCAGAGAAAGCAGTCTAGGAGGTTTCTGTGGAAGGTAGTTTCCTGATGCAGCTGGTTAGTGAGCCTACCAGGGATGGCGCCCCGCTAGACCTTCTCTTCACAAACAGGAAGGACTGGTGGAGGATGTGGTGGTCGGAAGCTGTCTTGGGCAGAGTGACCACGAAATGGTGGAGTTCTCTATTCTTGTCGAGGCCAGGAAGGGGACCAGTAAAACCGCTGTATTGGACTTCTGGAGGGCTGACTTTGAGCTGTTCAGGACACTGGTTGGTAGAGTCCCTTGGGAAGCGGTTCTGAAGGGCAGAGGAGTCCAGGAAGGCTAGGCGCTCTTCAAGAGGGAAATCTTAATGGCGCAGGAGCGGTCTGTCCCCACGTGCCCAAAGACGAGCCGGTGTGGAAGAAGACCGGCCTGGCTCAACAGAGAGTTGCAGCCTGAGCTTAGGAGAAAAAAGAGGGTTTAGAATCTTTGGAAAAAAGGGCGGGACACTGAGGAGGACTATAAGGATGTTACGAGGCTGTGCAGGGACAAAATTAGAAAGGCCTAAGCTCATCTGGAGCTCAAGCTGGCTGCTGCCGTTAAAGACAACAAAAAATCTTTTTACAAATATATCAATG